CTACTCTGGTTCGGATAGCCCATCTCTCTGACAAATTTCCCGCGCAGCCCGCCGGCCCATCTCATCGTGCGCTCGCGCGGGTCGGGCCGGGCCGGGCGCCGCACCGGAGCAGAAGCACCGCGCCAGAGCAGCCCGGCAGCGGCAGCAGCGGGGGATGAAAATGAGTGGAGGAGGAGATTAAAGGAGGTGATTAGAAGGGCGAGGATGTTGGAGCTGGAGGAGCAGGAGGAGGTTGAGCGGCTAGGGGCCGCCGCTTGAGAGGGGTCAGCTAAAAGGGGTCAATCGCTGCGCTGCGCCGGACCTCCCCTACACTAGACGACGAGGCCGGGCGACGTGTGGTGCACTCCACTGGTCCAGAGCAGAGCAGAGGAGAGGGGAGGGGTGCGAGGGAGGCTGTGAGCCGCGCTGCGTCTTCCTGGCCGGGTACAGCTTCATCCCCGCCCCCCTCCGCCCGCTACGCTACACACCATCAGCCCCTCATCCCCCCCTATCCCACTCTGCTCCTCACTTACCCCCACCCCCACACCCCACCTCGTTTCCCACACTCCTTTTTTGAAGACCTGATCGAGACACAACGACCTAGAAATCCGCCTCCTGTTGAGACCTGCTCCTTCACCCTCTCCATCGCCTTTGCTCTCTGCCACTCTCTCTCTCTCTTTCTCTTTCTCTCTCACTCAGTCTTGCCTGGCGGCGGTCGTCTCAGGCCCGCCGCCGTGCTGACAAAACTTTTCCGAAAGGCCATCCCATAGTGAGAAGTTTCCTGTGACACAAGCCGGCAGCCGAGGCAAGAGCATTCAGTTTGCGCAAACACCGTGGAGAAGAGGCTCACTCACTGGCTGGAGTAGAGAAGTATCTCACCGTCCATAATAATAAGAAAGACAACCCCAAAAAACCACTCGTCCTTTTTTTTTTTTGCTGCGCGCTATTTATTACTTCTTTTTTGGTTAAACCGCCGTTAAGCATTTTCCATATTCTTTTCAACATATTATTTTTCTGGTGCTTTCATTCGCTGTGTCGAAAATGAAAGAAAAAAAGGAACAACAGCGGCACAATTCGGTGCGGACACATGGCATAGGCCACACGGGCCCAAACGCACACGTGTCGGCGAGCACATTGAATCGGCAATGAGGGAATCACGATATGGAAATCGATATATTACGTTTTGTTTCCGATGCGGTATGAGGGCCGGGCTGGGCGCTGCCGGGCGGGGCGCCCAAGGGACGTAATACGGTCCGGTTGCATTAATCCAAGCGCCAAGCGCGTCGCCCCGGCCGGCGCCTCATAGGCCACGACACGGAAACGCTCTCTCACTCGAAGCACATCATCCACAAGAGATAGCTTTGATGGCTCATCGTGGTGGTGGGCGCGGAGGCTGTTGTGTGTATCGATGGGGCACTTAATTTGCCGCTCGTGTTTGTGTGGGGAGGCCCGTAACTTTAAACTAGGGAAGGTCACGTGAGTGGGAGAGGGGGGGGGGGATCACGCGGCACGTATTTCACTGATGCAGGCCTAACTACTCTGAAAAAAAATATTTTTAGTCCTGGGCACTCGACTTTTAGCGACTTTTAGTCCCAGACCGAAAGTTTTTGACGCACTGAACAATTTGCTTTAAGGACAAAGAGTTCTGTTGTCTCTATGGCGGCCATAGTATGGCCTCACCACGGATAAAACGACGTCTTGGTTTTCAAGCAGCCGAGCAACTCTTATGGAGAAAATACACGGGAGCGTCTTGTTTTTACCCGAACTGCTTGAAAACCAAAACGGTGTTTTTGGCGTGACATGTTCATTGTCTCGATTGCCTCTCACCTAAGTTTTCGATCGCGGGAACTAAATGTTTAGTGCTGGGATCAAAATACGACGGAATAGACAACTTCTTGTCCGAGAGGAGATTGTTTTTTTCTCAGTGTACTCCCCTTTGGGACGCGCACGTGCGTGTGATCCGCGCCGTGTTTTTTTCTGCTTATAC